ATTGTGAGTCGAGCGCCTTATCCACCTGGCCATGCCGGGCCACAATTTAAAGAACAAGGACGCAGTAGTATCCATACTGTTGTTAAACCCTTATTCTAAAAATCCTAGAGTGAGAGTAGTGGATAAACAATTAATCATTGAAGATATCAGAGCTTGGCGCCAAAACTGATATGTGTAGATTACATATAAAGAAAATTTATTCTTGTTAATTTGGTCAAATGCTCTATAGCACGAATTACTATGGAATAACGTTTTTTAGATTTGTTGTATTGGCCTCTTTTAACCCTTTAAGCAACATTAAAGTCCAACAATAAAAAGAAATCAAATCTTTTTAGAATAATTTTATTGGGTGTAGCAGAAACAAAAATGCAATGAAAAAGGTTAAGTAATTAATTTATACCTCATCGTATATGTTGACAAGCGTGCAACAAAATACCGTGAAGTATACGGTGTGTTTTATTATATAAAGTGTTCTACCACGAATGATGTTCATTTCTTTCTGCTGTCTGGAACGGCCTGGTGCTCGACTCGCAATCTGTAGGTCGCGGGATCACATCTGACGCCTAACATGCTAGCCTTTTCAACTGTGGGAGAGGTGTTATAATGTGACGGTCAATCCATCTATTCGTTGGAAAAGAGTAACCTAATAATTTCCGTGGGAGCTACCAGTCTCTTGATTTCCCCCCCCCAGTGGCACAGCGGTATGTCTGCGGACTTACAACGCTAGAATCCGGGTTTCGATACCCGTGATGGGCAGACCACAGATAGCCTATTGTGTTGCTTTGTGCTTAACTTCAAACAAACAAACTGTTGCCTTCCCTGTATTCGGCAATTCAACATTAGAGATGGCAACACATAAGCCTTAGTATCTTTGCCATAAACAAACAAACTCTTTGTGCATGGTTGAATGTTTGTTTTTTTTCTCAATATTTGCATTAAATGTATAGCGACCAAATTAAATTAGGATCGGAAGGAATCCACTTACAATATAATTAGATGGTATTTCTGAGAATAATTTTTAGTAGAACCTAAGACAAATGGTTAACATTCCAAAAAAATGGAAGGGGCATTCACAAATTAACACTTATTGTCACATAAAATATTTGTCTTTCGTGAGATCGTGATCACGACAACCTACTTATGTTCATAATTACATTGTATAGGCCCGGCATGGCCAGGTGGTTAGAGCGCTCGCCTCGCAATCTGTGGGTCGCCGGTTCGAATCCCCGTCACACCAAACATGCTCGCCCTTTCAGTCGTGGGGGCGTTATAATGTGACGGTTAATTCCACTATTCGTTGGTAAAAGAGTAGCCCAAGAGTTGGCGGTAGGTGGTGATGATTAGCTGCCTTCCCTCTAGACTTACACTGCTAAATTAGGGACGGCTAGCGCAGATAGTCCTAGTATAGCTTTGCGCAAAATTCATATCAAACAAACAAACAATACATTGTATAAATGTCGAGAATGTATGAAAATAATCACAACGTTCTGAACTGTCACTTATTGAAAGTACATACAAGATTGATGAAAGACACCAATGTAGTTTATAATTCGTTGTGTGTCATAATATTGAAATACTTTTAAATAAATTCAAAAAGCATTAGTTTAAAAAATATATTCAAAAGACATCGGATTAAAAGTAATCTAAAATTTTATAATAAGATATTGCTTTTTTTTGTTACAGAATCACCATGAAAGGAGCCACCTGGTGGTTAGCAATGCGTCTTATTGGGTTAACTCTGTGTCTCACTGTCATCAGTGGACAGAAGTGCTCAGAAGACAGTGAGCAGTTTCCTAGCCACGTATTAAGTATAGAAGACTCGGAAAAAAATGGCGCCAAAATAGAAATTATTAATTTCTACTTCACTAAAAGCGTTGAGACTTGTACAACGGAGTGCTGTGAAAAAACATATGGTACGTTTTATGAGATAATTTCAAGTGCTGTTAATGTCTATGTTTTAGTAACTACTGAAGATTTAGAAATTAAAGACTAATGCCATGTTTCAAATTAGACTTTAAAATATCATTTCAAAATAACAACTAACTTTTACTGAAATATGTGGTTCACAATAATTTCCCTACTATTAAACAGTTTGTGGCTGTAGGATATACTACACTCTTCCCAGAAGAAATATATTCGTATAACGAGTTTATCAAACAATGTGGAGCCAAAGAACAGCAATATGAGCCTAAATTACGCCAATGATTAGCAAAGCCCTCATTTGTAAAGCAAAGGTTGTAATTATATAAAAGAATCTTCCGCGCCCCACCCCGCCAAAAACAACAACAACAACAACAAAATCTGGGCATGTATAATAAACAAGATTTGAAGTTGGCATAGGCGAACATCAAGGATTTGAAGTTCGCAAGCCATTCTTAGAAGTCAACAGCTATTTTTTGACGAACTACAACACTGGAAGCACAGCAATTCCACGCATTCCAGTGGACCACATGTCTGTCAAATCTCTAGATATAGCTCGAATTGACTTTTGTACCCTTGATCCGCTTAAATGAGGTTGCATTCTACAAGTGTTATGACTTTAGAAAACTCTATTTTTGCCAGCAACATTAATTGTCACTTAGAAGGCAAAGTCCTTTAGCCGTGTAGCCTCCAGTTTCAGCCAAAGAGTAAGAGTAGTCCTTTATCCGTATAGTCCCCAGTTTTAGCCAAAAAGTAAGAGTAGTCCTTTATCCATATAGCCCCCAGTTTCAGCCAAAGAGTAAGAGTAGTCCTTTATCCGTATAGCCCCCAGTTTCAGCCAAAGAGTAAGAGTAGTCCTTTATCCGTATAGCCCCCAGTTTTAGCCAAAAAGTAAGAGTAATCCTTTATCCGTATAGCCCCCCAGTTTCAGCCAAAGAGTAAGAGTAGTCCTTTATCCGTATAGACCCCAGTTTCAGCCAAAAAGTAAGAGTAGTCCTTTATCCGTGTAGCCCGCTCCCCAGTTTCAGTCAAAGAGTAGGAATAATCCTTTATCCATGTAGCCACCCAGTTTTAGCCAAAGGACTAACCCCTATATAATAATTATTTTCAGTTGTTTTTATTTCTCGCTCTTATGATTATAGGTATAATTCTTAGTTTTCATTTTTGATTGTAACCTTTATTTAGTTTTAATTGCATAAGTGTACTAATTTATCCTCATTTATTTTGGTGCATTTCTATCCCATTTTATGTGTAATATCCTCCTGCCATGAAGTAGCTGAGCGGTACATATGCAGACTTACAATACTAAAAATCGCGTTTCGACACCGATGATGGGCAAAGTACAAATAGCCCATTATGTAGTTTCGTGATTTACAACAACCGAATCAAAATGGTTGTAATGATTTATCATTTTATGTTCCAGTATTTCAATCATATTTTGTAGTTGTAAATCTTTATATTATTTAGCAATATAAACCATTATCGTCATCCATTTTTATGATATTTTATCCATTAGGTACAATCTATTTTCATCCTTTTTCCATTTTTGAACCTTCTGTGTATACTAGTTTGTAATACATTGTTATCTGTTTGTTTGTTTTTTTAGAGAACCTCGGTAAATAGTTTTCAATTCGCAATATTTGTATTTTAAAGTGAAAGATTCATTGTTCTTTCGTGTTTCAGGTAACTGCACTGTTTCATCTTTCATCCGGAATCAAAGCAGCGTCAACTGTTATCATTTCCAGTGTACTCCAGTGGCCCTCTGTAGTCTTAGTCCTTCCAACCGTTCAGAATCCATGGTAGTTTTTATCAATACAGATAAAGACGAACTTGAAAAGAATGAATCTCTGATGGAGACGTCAAATAAGGAAAATGGTTTCAACAATCATCTACAAGAAAATGTAGAAGATAATAAAAAATTCAAACCAAGAAAGGGATTTAACGCTTCTATTCAAACTAATGAAATCTTGTTAGACTCAAATGAAACTTTGAGTTTGAACTTCAGTGAGCACATTAGTAACGTAACGACATTTAATGAAACAAAAACTTATATTTACCCTAGGAAAGGTGTGGTTCCGAATTCCAAGAAAGAGACATTGGAGTTCATTCGGGTAGGAAAAGAAGAAACAACGAAAAACATGGAAGATAACGTAACCACGAATAATTCGGATTATTTCAAATTTACTAATGAAACTAATTTGGCTGAAATTTTTGAAGAACCACCCCATCCTATTTCTGTTCATAAGGAAACCTTTAACGTAAGTACAACGCCTACTGGGACGGAACTGCAGAACAATAACAACAGTAAGAAAGGCAAACTGGTTATGGTTACCTCACGACCGGTTCCTGTTTCAAGTGTTACTGAGAGCAGTGTGAAAGTGTTCAAAGAAAATAATCGCCAAGAAAAACCAGTGTTTTTAGACAGTTTGCAAAGCCTTTCCGTAAATAATGAAACGCAACTTGGCATTGAGGTGACAGAAACACTATTTACTGGAAGCCAAGAAACATTACCTGATTACAAACAACAAACATCTGCTTTTAGTTACGAATTAGATGCTATCTCTACGTTGCATCAAGATTTGAAATCTGTAAGTCAAAACCAAGGTGATACACACGTATATTCAAACATTACAGGAAAGAACATGGACTCTAGGAAGAATGAAAAATTGTCGAATAATTTGTCAAATGGAACAGAGAAACCACTAAAATTATTGACACAAGAAACAATAATGGATAACGAAAACAACAAACCGACCTATCCTGGAGTTACAGAATACGATAATGTTCTAATACATTTCACACGAGTGCATAAAGTAGATAAAAAGGTCTTACTAGACAAACCCTTTACAGAAGTTACCGATGATAAAAGTAGTCCTACTGAATATACTTCCGACTTTCAAGAGCAACCAACTTTGCCTCCTTACGTCCAGCACACAAATATTGTTCATGTTTCTCTCACGCCACATACGACTGCATCCTTGGACAATCCAACGTCAAACTTAAGCAAGTCCTGGTCAAAATCTCATATAATTTCTAATACGACCATACAAATAACTCTCTCCACACCTCAACCTATTAAGTTAACAATGCCATTGAGCAGAACACAACAGCACCAGAAACTTACAACAGAATCTGTTTTGAATCCAATAAGAAACTTTACACCAGTTGTCAGTAAAGACAACATCAAGATGGACTCAGTTCATCAAACCTACGATTCTTCTTCTGTTCACCTTATCATTGCTTTAGTATTGGGTTTACTGTTGCTATTTACAGTACTAGGTTTGGTAGGCAAACGAATCTACGACACCTGGCAGCGACGCCATTACCACAGAATGGATTATCTAATTGAGGACTTTTACAACAGCTAACTTAGTACCTTCGTTATCGGCTTGTAAGGAAGAGTAACAACAACAAATCGGAAACAAAGAGAAACTGGAGAGAGTGGGATTACACGTAGATTGAAGAACTAAATGTGTAGAAAGATGGATGACTCAACGCTTTACGTTTTGTTGCACAAAATAGAGTTTCTTACATACAAATTTGGATAATCTTTTTCTTTAGATTTGGAAAGATGGTCTTCCATTTCTATCAATCCACGACTGTCTAAACGAGGAATATATTCCCTCTACCTTAAACCATGGCTGTCTAAAGTGGAAATATCGTACCTAACGACTAGAAACGTCTTTCCATTCTATCCATCTATAATTGTATAAAAAGTGGAAGTCTTCACTTTCTTTTAACCCAGACTGTCTAAGGTGAGGAAGGCTTCCTTTTGTTTTAACCCAGACTGTCTAAGTGAGAAAATGACCCCTTTCTTTTAACCCAGACTGTCTAAGGTGAGGAAGGATTCCTTTTGTTTTAACCCAGACTGTCTAAGTGAGAAAATGACCCCTTTCTTATAACCCAGACTGTCAAAGTGAGAAAATGACCCCTTTCTCTTAAGCCAGACTATCTAGAGTGAGAAAATCACCCCTTCCTCTTAACCCAGACTGTCTAAGGTGAGGAAGTTTCCCTTTCTCTTAATCCAGAGTGTCTAAAGTGAGGAATGCTTCCGTTTATCTTACTCTAGACTGTTTAAAGTGAGGAATGCTTTCCTTTCTCTTAACTCAAACTATCTAGAATGAGGAAGGCCTCCCTTTCTCTTAACCCAAACTATTTAGAATGAGGAAGGTTTCCCCTTCTCTTAACCCAGACTGTCTAAGTGAGAAAATGACCCCTTTCTCTTAACCCAGACTGTCAAAGTGAGAAAATGACCCCTTTCTCTTAACCCAGACTATCTAGAGTGAGAAAATCACCCCTTTCTCTTAATCCAGACTGTCTAAAGTGAGGAATGCTTCCGTTTATCTTACTCTAGACTGTTTAAAGTGAGGAATGCTTCCCTTTCTCTTAACTCAAACTATCTAAAATGATGAAGGTTTCCCCTTCTCTTAATCCAGACTGTCTAAAGCGAGGAAGTCTTGCCTTTCCTCTTAACCCAGACTGTCCCAAGTGAGGAATGCTTCCCTTTCTCTTAACCCAGACTGTGTAAAGTGAGAAAATCACCCCTTTCCCTCAACCTACAGTTGTCCTACAACTGTATAAAATTAGGTGTTTTGTTAGAATTGACTGATGAAATTGTCATCAGCTACCTGTATAATACAAAATTGAAACGGAACACTGGAGTGAATGTAAAGTGACACATTAAGCAGCTATGATATGTAAATTTCATGCTTCTAGCTTCGTGAGCGAACGTCTCGTCTAACCTTTAGATAATCTGAGATCGTGTAAATAAAATATGGATGCACTGTAAATATTTGCTGTCTTGAAACCTTAAAGGAGTCTCACATTTGTAGTTCTAGCTTAATAAACACCGGACGACATGAGGAAAGAACTATTATATTGTATTGGTTACATAATACGATTTTGGTAATTGTATCTTTTAGCTGAATTACATTTGAATCTTTTGTATTATGAATTGGACTTAGCTTCTAGGACTTTTTCTCTCTATAGGCGTCAAATAAATTCAGTAATTTTAAAAACAAATAAAATCATGCTTTTTCAACCCTCTGTTTTATAAGTGTTTACTGTTATAAATGTTCTTTCCACCGAGTTATAAAAGAACTTAAAAAATAATATTTGCATTAAAATATGCCCCTCAGTGGCACAGCGGTATGTCTGTGGAGTTACAACGCTAGAAACCGAGTTTCGATACCCGTAGTGGGCAAAGCACAGATAGCCCATTGTGTAGCTTTGTGCTTGATTCCAAACAAACAAGCATTAAAATACGGTTGTTCTTACACGTGTGTGTGTGTCTATGTAATTATATTTATATATATCTAATACTATTAGTTACATTAACTGTTAATAGGCGATTAAAATCTACACTATAAAAACCATAACGAACTTAGCATAAGATAAGCATTGGTAGAAACATAATGGATATAAAAACTGGTAATTATACAAATTCTTTACATTTTTAAATAATAAATAAGGAAGTGTTTAAAAAAATAAACTTTCGATCATGGAAAATACCTTAGGAAGACAATAGAGGCCGTTTGTTACTCTTGGTTTATAAGTAACTAACTTTGAAAATATATAATTTTATTCAGTATACTGAGACGAAAAGACCAACTTGTCAGCTTTCCCGTGTTATACTTGAATAAATCTTTCAGAGAAAGGGAGGGGTTTGGTATGTAAGAACTATTAAGGTAGGGTTTGTAGTTCTCCTTAAGATCATTTACTTCCATTTAATATCTTGTAAGGGCGGAGGTTGGGAGTTACACTAGTAGAATGTTACACTTCTATCTTAACAGTAATTGCCTTACCACAACTGGCTGCAGACAGTGAAAGGCAATACGAGTTGAGACGTTGTGAGTGTTAGCACTCGGCTCTGTACCCTTAATTGATTTTTCCATAGTAGCTGTAATAGCTGGCTAGGTTAACATCAGTATTTGGATATTGTCTGCTAGATGGGGTTTCCCCAGCGCATTTGGGTGATATTACCACAGGCATTATCCGATATGACATCAAGTTGACAACTATTACCACAGGCATTATCCGTTATGACATCAAGTTGACAACTATTACCACAGGCATTATCCGTTATGACATCAAGTTGACAACTATTACCACAGGCATTATCCGATATGACATCAAGTTGACAACTATTACCACAGGCATTATCCGTTATGACATCAAGTTGACAACTATTACCACAGGCATTATCCGTTATGACATCAAGTTGACAACTAGGACCGATAATGGCAATTCTACCAATGATTACTTGATGCTTATTTCATATATCGCAATACCGTTATCGGTCCTGGTTGTCAACTTATTGTCATAACGGTATTGCGATATTTAATTCATTATTGTTTTATAATGCTGATTTAATCGCCTATAAACAATTAATATAGTCAATAGTTTGTAAGCTATATATATATATAATTAAAACTTGCAGAAAATTTAATGAAATGGAGAAGATGACAGAAACCAAGTTCATTGTTTGTGATTTTTTATATCATTTCTTTGTACGGTTTACAAGGTTGCACTTTATTAGAGCAAGGCGGTAAAAATCGTATATAAATATTTATCATTGTTCAATGATAATATGTATTAATTAATCGTTGCCTAGCGATTACCGTATAGAGCCGCGATATGTCATTGGGTACACTCCTCACTTTCACCTGTGAAAGTGTTATAACCGTGACAGTCAATACACTTAAGAATAGCCACATGGGCACTGTGTGTTGCTGAATCTTCTCTCTGTTCAATAGTTCCAAATTAAAGAATGTTTGGGGTGTTTGACCTGATTGTTTAGCTCATATGTCACATGAGGTACTGTTCACACTGAAAATACCGATACCTCAATTTCTGTGTGAAATATCACGAATATCGTCCGTAAATCACTGTACTTTATTTTATAATTCACTGTTTGATTTAAAGTCTGTCAAGTTATTCAGACCAGTTTGCATTTTTATGAAAGAACTTTAAATAATATAAACATTGTATGGAGGATGTGGATTTCACAGGAGATATATTAGGAAATCCATGTTACCTCCCCCCCCCCACATACACACACAAACACTTTCACTTTAAAGATAATTGAAATG